GGGGGTTGGGGCGGTGACGGTGCCTGTGGTTTCTTCCTCCTCCTTCTGAGGATGATGTGCCACACCAAGCGTTCTGACTTTAAGCATGGTATATGTGGTACAGGCCGTGCCAAGTAGAACCAACAAAAGTATATGCCCTCCTTGACATTCAGAGAGAACTCTATATTTGCAAAAACTGCTGTGTCAGGCCTGAAAGGCTGGAAAAAAACGTTCCTTACTTCTCCCCCCAGGGACTGGGTGCCAGTGATGACGCTCCAGAAGTAGAAGCCTAGACTAGGATCAGCAAATGAAATTGAGTATATGCCCCAAATGATGTTCATTACCTTGGAGGTTATCATGCAATAGACATAATACGCCAATAAAGCAGTTCTCATACCATACTTCAGTCCATACACGAGTATTACAGCCGGCAGGTAGTTCCCCCCCATGTGTGGAAAAATATAGAGACTTAGGTACAAGACCCATGTAAGCATTTTTAGCATCATAGCAAATAGCTTCTGCACTACAAAAATTGTAATTCTAACTTTTTTTCAGTATTGGGTCCCACGTTGGGCACCAAAATTTGTGCTGGTTTGAAAGCAAACTGGTGAGAGACTCCAAGTCAGAAGTACAATTTAATAGGGAAAAACAAACCAAAACAACAAGAAATGCAACAGTACAAAAAGGAACCACTGACAGAGTCAGAAAGTAACCTGACACCCTGTCAATCAGGGAGTTGACCGATTAAATGGTGCTGCAGTCCTCCTGGAGTGATGGTTCTGTTGGAGCAGTGATCCCACAGATCCAGTCCTCTCCTGAAGGTCCAGCAGCAGCTCTTGTCCTCTAGGACTCCAGCAGGCAAAGGGCTACCTGTGCTGGTCCAAACCCCAGTTTATATCCCTGTGGGAATGCTTGGTTCCCCCCCACTCCGGGGTGAAGCATCTCACAGTGGGGTGATGTAATTCTCTGCATGCCTGAGCCCCAGACAGCCCATTACACAGAGACAGCCCCCTGAGGGAGCCATCAGGGACCAGGAGATAATGATCCCTGTCCCCACCTGCTTTAACAGCTTGTGGAGAGGACAGTATAATGCATATCACGGGCTACTCCCACACTGCAACCCAGCACACAGTCTTTTTCTAGATAACTTCCCCCAACTTTATAACTAAGCTTTTGAAAGGCTTTGATGTAGTTTCCTTAGGTGGAACATTACACCTTTAGGCCTTGAATCATGTTTTGAAGCTTCTGGATTAACACCTTGGTGAAACAGAGCAGTCCTTCTCCTTTCTGTCTTCTGTGCTTACCATTTTGTTCATCTGAATGAGTTAGACTATCTCCTTTATGGAACTACCTGATATAGGGAATAATGTTATTTATCACATGCTTTAATTAATTCCCAGTTTCTAAACAAAACTGACCTGTAGATACACAACAGATGTGGTTGATATGAAAAGAGAACGATGCTACCTTTTTGTTTTTAAGTAGCCTTTCTGCAAGATTAATATGTGACTGAAAACAAGAGGATTAAATTTACTCATTTTTGGGCTTCATATGATTTTCAAGTCTGGAGTGACAGCCAAAAAATGCTGCTGTTTTAAAGTTCACTGCTTCTTAGACCAAAATCTTATTTTAAAATAGTAATTTCGGGTTCCTCTCCAACTGATGTTACTTTAGCAAACATTCTTTAATCACTTAGCTAATAAAGTTCAGGTGGATTTGCATGGGTGTATATAACTGAGTCACAGTAAGACATTTTAGTGTTGAATCAAGGAGGAACAGAATTGATTCATTCTTAATAGCTACAGGATATGTCAGAAATACTTAAAAGCTGTTGTGTTCAAGTGAGATGATGCAAAAAGGACAGCTGGGTCAGTATCACCTGTGCTCTGACAAGTACCTGCTTGCATGTTCCAGCTGAAGCAGCACAACTAGTGAGACATTGTTTAGTCCTAGACTAAAGAAGGAGAGGCTAATTTCCATCTTATTCCCGAGAGCTGCCTTGTTCCTCCTGTCAAAAAAAAGGAATGAGCTTACAATAGCTGACAGTCAGGGATTCTAAATTAGACCTGCAGTGATCAGTTAGGATGTTTCCCACTTGCTTTTGAGTAACAATGGGAGATGGTTTTCTGATGTCAACATAGGATTGCTTGGGTTAGTGTTGGGGCCTGGCTAGCAGAGGAACTGTAACTTGAGCAATGGTTAAAGGAATGCTTAAGCAATTAAAAACAAGACACACAAAATAGGTCTTGCTGACCTTGTTTCTATCTTTATGCATTCCTGTCTCTTCAATCCAACACCTTATAATGGTCTTGTTCTCTCCTGCTGCCAGGGGTTTTAGGTTTAGTTTTAGTTTTACTGCCTTATAGATAAGATAAGTCATCTGGCTAACAAGCTGGGAATAGTGCTGTTGTCTAAGTTCTCGGGGACACTGTGTAGCTCTTGTTATCAGTTTCCCAGGATGTGAGAGTGGGATGCAGCTTTAACTTGTAACCTCTCATAAGTAAGAACTGTACGCATTGGCAGGTGGAGCAACCAATCTAAAGTTGTGTGATCAGCGCGTAGCTGCATGGACAGGAGACATTTTACTAGAAATACTGTTAGATGCCCTAAATAAAGTTGGCTATCAGAGCATCATATTGGTGTGTGCTGCAGTCCATCCCTCGCAAGGACCCCAACAGGTTAGGAATCAGATCAAGGGAGCAGTCTTCTATGTCACTTTAAAGTTTGGTTCTGGTGTTTGCTGATCTAACTGCTCTCTCCATCAGGGCTTTCCAGCTCATCTTCATTTTCTCTTTTTGCTCACATAGGTTGGTTTTTTCATCCCTCTGTGACCCTCTGTGAAGCAGTGGTGGGGCTGAAGTGACAACTTAATTGTACATCAAACCTGGATGTCTGGCCAGAGCAGTTTTACAGAAATGTCACAAATTGCTTTTTATTAAAGCAGACAGAAAAATAAGTTGGCAGTTTTTCTCTTCGCCAGGTGAAAGGTGTTACTGTCCTGTGCTATGAGACAGGGTTTGATAAGTAGGTGTAGATCGTGCTGAACTCCTGTGCTGTGCAAACCTTGCTTCTGCAAGTACTGAAGATGAACTGGGACTCTGTGGTTTGGAAAGCTGTATTTAATGTTCTGCTTACTTCTGTTTCTACAGAGTAAAATAGTTCGTGTCCTGAACCTCTGGCAGAAAAATGGAGTGTTTAAAATTGAGATAATTCAGCCTCTCTTGGATATGGCAGCAGGAACTAGTGCCACTGCACCAGTGACAGAAAATGCTACTAACAATGAAGGTAGGAATGACACTAATGTCTACTTTCAAAGGGAAAATCCAGTAGCTTGTTTGCTTCCACAGTAAAGTGTCTGCTCTTAGTTCCAGCAGTAACATATCAGTGAACTCCACTTTGTTGTCACAGTTATGTGGAGCAGCTGAACTCATTTTAAATAATGCCAATACAAAGATTAGCAGAATTGAGCACATACTTGGAAAATACCTGAAATGTCTATCATGTACAAGCATCTGTACATACATGTGTGCACACTTGCTGATGACTTCAGTGTCCCCTCTTAAACAAACACTTCATATCTTTTGCTTTGAAATATTTTTCTGTTGTTTCTCAGTTTTGTAATTCTGATGTCATTTTCAATGTTAGAATCCAGATCAGTAAAGTGGGACCTTACTTATATTTCTTTGAATCCACTTAGTACCTGAAAGCAGCAGCTCTTAGTATGTCTCAGTGTGCAGCCCTGAAGCACTTGAACTGATGTTTAAAATCCAGATCCTCACACACTGACAGGCTGCTGGCTGAGAACCACTGACCTGCAGAGAGGAGCAGGGTGGGCCTGCCCAGTGCTTGCATTGACCTATTTTGTGCCACGTAAAAAGCTGAGAGTGAGGCTGTGGAGTTGTGGATGATGATGTGTGTTCCACCATTCCCCCTTTCTCCAGAGGGGCTGCTTGTGGCTTTGCACTCTGTAGTTCACACAGAGCTTTGGGAACCTACTTTTTGCACTCAGTCAAGCAGGTCTGGGGAAAATGTAATGGAGTGGGTGAGGTTTGGGGAGAGACAACAAAATAGTGCTGCACAGCATCACAAATGACACCATCTCCAGCTGTGTTTAGGGAAGTGTGTCCCATTGATGTTACAAACATGGCAGGGGGTGGGAATGCCTTGGCATCCAAGCCTGGGTGCAGAGTGGCAGTTTCACTCTGGTGGGACAGGTGAGGGGCACTGCCTTTCCAGCTGTGGCTCCTCACTGGTACTAACAGTTGGTTGCATTCTGCAGAGGTTTCGTGTACAGGATTACTGATTCCAGTGAGATTATTCAGATGCACTAAAGGGGATAATTTGGCCCTGAAATAAATAGGCTAATGAATAATAATAAATATATTAATGCATTATGTGAAGTAGAATCTGTTTAGCTCATAATACTACAAAGTCTGTTTAGCCAAACAGAGAGAGAGGGAAATGCAGATTTTCTCCCTTGAGCAAGCAAATATCCTTCTGAATATATACAGGAAATAATTGGGGAGTTACGTCGTATTTAAAAACAGCCACATACCTTTTTGTAGTGTTTTTATATTGCATTTAACTTCTGGGAAAATATTACACAACACATTTGTCTGTGCATGCTGCCTGTCAACACTGGACGTATTTGAAGTGCAAACATGAATGGCTTTAAAGGAGTTGGTATTGCAAGGCAAACACGTTTGCTCAGTGTTTCAGACTAAAACAATTCTTCTATCTGTGGAGTTTTGTTAACCTTCACTCCTTGTGTAGCTTTGAAGTAGTCCATCAAGAGAAATTTGCTAAAGAACAGTTACTTGCTCACAGAGTGTAGGAACTGATGGTAATGTTGCTAATTTCTTGGTGCTGCAAAATGTTTGTTAATAAAAGCTTTGTAATCTAAAGCAAAGAGGATGGGAGAGCTAGTAGTATGTCTTAAAGTGTGATCCCAGCTTCAGTAAAGTCCAGTGGAAATGGGAGTCTTTTCCTGGAACAATGAGTAAAAATTACAGTTCTGGTGGGAGGATTTATCCATCAGCTGTAGGTGTGGCTTGTGCCTGTGCAAAAAGGGCATGTGGACAACTGTGATCAGAGATGACAAGTTGCCTGTGAAATAATGTTTAAAACCCTTTAGTTATTGCCAAACTTCTCAGCAAAAGTTCAGTTACTGTTAGAAAATAGAGAATACTAAGAGAAACTCTTCGAATTAGTCATGAGATGGTTTGAAATACTCATCCAAAGGGATGAGCCCAGGTCTGTGTAACCAGAACCACCATGTTAAGTGTATTGCTTAGTGAAGTTCATTGCTTAGTGTTGTTTGAGTTATAGCATTTCTCTGAGCTTGTCTAAACCTGGACAGTTACAAGCATGGAGCTGTGCTCTAAAATTCCATGTGGGACCAGCTCTCAGCTGGGCCTTTGTTCTCCTTAGTGTATGTGATGTGCAAGTGTGAGCAGTGACTGGAGCAGTGCAAGGCAAAAGTATGCAATGTGCATTCAAACAGGTGGTTCAGACAGGTCCTTTTGGGTTCAGTAGGGAATTATAGTCCGACACTTGGTTTAAGGGTGCACTGGACAGTATGGTGAATGTTTTGGAGTAACACAGCACTTCCTCCATCCCTCTGGGACCCTCAGGCTCACCACCCCCTCCGGCCAAGGTCCCTTCAGAGCCACCTCAAGTGACTGCGAACTCAGTGCCCAGTGTGCCACAGCTGCCGAGCTCCGATGCCTTTGCAGCTGTAGCTCAGCTGTTCCAGACCACACAAGGACAACAGGTAACCTGTTTGTATGGTTCCCTTCTAACTTCAGCTTCTATGTGAAATGAGGGGGGAAAAGTGATGGAATTAATATCTGTAATTGGAAGCAAAGCAAAGATTCTCCTTAAAGTCTTCAGGGGAAAACTTGTAGGAGTTTAAAAGTATTTGAATTATCTGTGCCTCTTCCATCCAGTAATTGTGGAATTTGAGGAAATAGCAGTTACAAAGTTTCCAGAACAAGTGGAATATGTCAAACAAAATGTGGAGTTTTATTGTTTGGTCCACTTAAACATTTGTAGTGCTGAAAGGCCTGAACACTGCAACATTGGGATCTGCTGAATTTTGCCACTGTAGTATTTAAAAAGTGACTCTTGGTCTTGCTGAAAGTTCTCCATAGTTCAGTCAGGTTGCTGATGTTCATCCCATGCCATAGTCTGATTTGACGTAAAATGTACATCCTACAACTCTTTCAATGCTTTGTATTTGATTATAGAAGAGTGTATATGTAATGCTATGTGTGTTTTATAGCTTCAGCAAATTCTGCAGACCTTCCAGCAGCCTCAGAAGCCTCAGTCACCTGTCATAGATAACACTGTGATGGCTCAGGTTCAGGCTATTACTGCTCAGCTGAAAACCACAGTAGCACAGGCACCAGAGCAGAAAGCTGCTTTCCCAGCACCCGAGCAAAAAACATCCTTTGACAAAGTAAGTCTTCGTTTCTTCTTTGTGTTGATCCTCTCCAGTTCTATGTGATGGGTGCCTCAGTGTCCCCTGTTTACTAGGAGAAAAGTGGTTCTAGTTTTGTTTCTTCTCTTTCTGTTTGGAGCTTGGCTTCCTCTTTTATGGCTTCTGCATTTGTGAAGCTGAAGAAACCTGGTTTGGGACAATTTTAATTCTGTGTTAGAACATAGATTTTTACTTTTCCTCAGTTCTAACCTTGTCTTCAATTCCAGAGCAGTTAGATATGTACTATAACTATGATAATAAAAATATTTTGGCTGCGAGTTATGTAAGATACAGAAAAAATAGTTGTCACAATGTGATTTCTTTCAGAAGCTGCTAGATCGGTTTGACTATGATGATGAACCAGAGGCAGTGGAAGATTCAAAGAAAGAAGATTCAGCTCCTTCCCCCTCAGTGTCTCAGCCAGCCTTGTAAGTTTTGTGCTATAACAAAACTGAAAAATCCTTGGGATTAGAAAATTGATTAAAATTCCAAGTGACTTCAGTGCTTAACTGTTACAACCCAAATTTAAAACTGTTAAAAATTTTTAGTGGGGTGTTTTTGTGTCTCTTTGCTTTGCTAATCTGGTGTAGGTTTGGCATGTCCCGGCATTGACTGATGACATTGTTCTGTAGAGAAAAGGTCAGTTCTGGTTTCAAGATGAGTTCCATGTTTTTATTGCACAACTAAGTGTGTCAGGGCACCGTTAGGGGGCAGCGGGTTTGCCTTCCTGGCTGGGGAAAAGATGCTATTCCAGACATTGTGGTAGCTTTATTAAAAAATGAAAATTGGCTTCACAGCTTTACATTCTCAGATACTAAATCCCACCCAGATGAGCTTAGACTCCTGTTTCACTTTTGCTGTGCATTGTGCTCAAGTGTTAAATGCCATGACCACATCCCAGTTCTTTCCACAGGACCTCTCTCTCATTCAGTGCACAGGCTGGATGGTGCTCAATACCGGGGTTAGTCCTTTTTTTTTTTTTCCCTGCTTCAGTTCGTGGCCCCATGTCTTACTTTCTGTATATGCATCTAAACCCTGCTCTGAAAACCAGAACCACTAACTCTCATCAACTTTCCTACTGTTTCTCACTTTGAGCACTTTGTTATGCAAGTGTTAGTTAATTAAATGGCTTTTAAGGGAATTGGTAGTATTTTCCCTAGAATTCAGATGGAACTCTGGAGTACAGAGCGATGAGGTAGGTGACACATAAGCACTGCCCGTGTCTGCCCAACTAGAGGCTTTTGGGCATGTTAATGTTCTGTTGGTAGTGCTTCAGAGCCTCTGTTCTTAGCACCTCACAGCTGTGCAAGACACTTCTGGAGGTGTCATTCCAGTATTCCCTGTTTGGGTACACAAAACCAGTAATTCTGTGAAAAACTGATCTGTCCAGAATCATCTCAGAATTGTGTGACACCTGTGTCTTCAAGTACTGCAAAGTTCCATTCCCCATCACTATGAAATTCGTTTATCCCTCTGAAATACTGTTCAGTTTCCTGCAAGCAGGTCCTGTTACCTGCACAGACCTCCTGAATTCCCTGAGCACTGTCCATTCTGTGTGTTGAATCAGGAAGTGAATGGCATCCCTGTAATCCTTGTGTGATACACATCCCCTTCTCCTCTGCCCTGTTTCCTCCCAAACCAAAGGGGTTGTTTGCAGCAAAAGTATAGCCAGATGATTTTCCAGGAGGAAAATAGTTACTTGTTCTATTCTCAGAAGAGGAACTGGAAGGGAAGAAATTTAGCCCAAGGCAGAGAACCTTCCTGAAATATTTCCTTAGGCTGAGGTCTTTAGCAAGCTCAGAAGGACAGGGAGGAGGGAGGTTCTAACCTGTGTGTAGCATTTCTTTAAATGATAAAGGATAAGCAGCCACTCTTTCTCCTTGCTTCTGTTGGAAATGGGTTCATAGTAAAGATAGTTCTTCTGTCTGAAATTGAAGAAATGTGTAAATGTGTATAGAAATCTGTAAAATAGACAGAAAAATCTGCATATCTGCTGACTCATCTCACCAAAATATTCCTGGGTTTAGTGGCTTTCCAGGAGAAGGCATGCAGCAGCCAGTATTCCCTCAACTCCCAAATATGGATCCTTTTCAGCAGCGAATGATGGGAATGCAGCAGGATCCAATGCGTCACCAGGTAACTTCAAGGTTTTCCCTTCTCCCTGTGTGTTTTTCTGTGGTGCAGAAGTAAGTAAGTGGTGTTCCTGTTGTGAGGAGTGAATGCGGCTTAGCCCTTCATCTTCCCAAAGAAACATTCCTGTTCTCTGTCCTAGTCATGTTTTGAACAAGATTCTTATTTTCTACACCTGAATGCATGATCTCATTCATCTTTTGTTGTAGCTTTGCAGCAGAGATACAGTTTTACTTGAACAAACTGGGAAAGCTAATGTAATTTTTGTAAGTTCATGTTTTTTCTTATCCAAAGGTCCCACTTCCTCCCAATGGGCAAATGCCAGGATTTGGCCTCCTGCCTACCCCCCAGTTTCCACCTATGGCTCAGCCTGTGATTCCACCAGCAGCACCTGTGCAGCCAACTTTCCAGTCTCCTTTTCCTGTCCAGAGTGAGTCACACATGCAGAAACCCCACCAGCAGGTAAGGAGCCCTTGCAGTTAACTAACTTAGGTGTCTTTCTCCAGTGTGTTTGGATTGTCGAGGAGCAGAAATGTCAGGACAGCTATGGACAGAGTGTCTGGAAAAGTTAATTTTTAAGGGCCTGGTGGATTGTGAATGTAGAGGAAATGGACTCAGAAGTCTGTAAAAGTTTAAAAAAACCGAGTGTATGTAAACACCTTCCTCTTGTTACTGACGGTTTTCGGGATATAGTTGGGGTCAATAACTGACTGCTATTGAGAAGAAATCAAAGACCAAGTCTATGAGCCTGTGTATTAAACCAAAATGAATATATTTGCCTGTTTTGTTCCAAGAAAAGGAAATACTAAACTGAGAAACAGAGATGGTACCAAGCTGTGGTGACCTGTGATGTCACAGATTATAGAAATCAGTTCTGCTTCCCACCTGGAATAAAGGGACAGTTCTCAAGAGTATCTTTATAATCAGTTTTTACCCTAGAATTGTATTGAATCAGTGCATTTTGAGAGATTAATTGTTTGGATATTCCCTGCCAGGATCATGTCATGACAACCATTTAAAGTTTGGGCAGGACACAATATGTTGTGGATTGGGAAGCTGTAGAGCATTTGGGCTAGGAAGGAAGAGCTGTGCTGGAATTAATTTACATTTTTTAAGCAGGTTCTTGCATTTTATGTATTGCTTTGGTGACTGATTCATTCTTCAGATTTGTTGTCATTTGCTTATGTATCTGGCTTAGAGCAGTTCCTTCTAATATCGTGGAGAAAAGTTGTCTAGTAGACCTCACTTGATTTTGATGACAGAGCAGGATCCAGTGACTAATGTTAAGGAACATAATCATATTCTGTGGTGGTGCTGAAATAGACTAAAGTATGGGATGATGATGATGATTTGGAAGTGAGAATGGTGTATATTATTTCCCTGATGTATTTTCAGTGGTTATGTTAAGTACATATAACACTGGACCCTCTCCCTGTTAGTGACAACAGAGCAGTGGGGAAGCTTGAGGAGAGGCCCATTGCTTCTAAATTTCACGCATTTGAATATTCAGTAGAGTTTTAGAGCTGTTACCTAATTCTGTCTGGGCATGAAAAGAAATACAATGCTTGTGCTGCTCACCTGTAACACCAGTCAACTTCCTATTTCAGGATATGGAAGTGGAACAGCCACCTATTCAGGAGGGAAAGCGACATGTTTCCGACAGCAGGAAGTCAAGATCTAGATCTGCATCAAGGTAAATCCGGGAAAGTTCTTTTGGTGAGGGTATATATTGTTTCAGCTGTTGGAGTTTAGCATAAGAAACTGCACTATGTCATGTCCAGAGGCTTGGAAGCAGTTGGCTAGCAGTGTATGAGTCCTGAGGACAGTTCTGCTCTTTGTCTGGAACTCAGGGAATCTGGTGCTGTGCTGCCACAACTGCCATGGAGGTGTCTTAATCTCGCTATGGACAACACTAGTGACATTTCTTGGTAAAATCAGGACTATCAAGGGCTTTATTTGAATACCCCTTAAAGAGGCTCTTTCAGTGTCTCCTGTCTGAGAGGAGCTGTTTGTAAATGCAGCCAAAAGTTGTGTGTCCTGCAGCGCAGGAATGAGAAATAGAAGGCTTATGAACCTCTGAGAGTCACCTACCTTGTAAGGAAAGTTGGATATCTTACAGTTCTTACTAGGAGAGAGTAACTTCCATGCCCCTCAATATAGAGTACATTTTAGGGAAGCAGAGTGTTATAGTTTCATTTTCTCTGTGCTCTAAGGACACTTGTAATGAAAACATCTGTGATCAGTGTGCTGTGGGACTTTGCCTGGCACAAGGCAGTATGTCATGTCTCAGCTGACCTAAGCCTTCTCCTTTGCTGACTTTCTTATGACTTCTTTGAAGGTATACTCTGTCTTCCAGACCTCTAGTGGTTTAGAACTTGAATGTGATGTAAAATACAATTCCAGTGGTAAATTTATTTGCCATCTCTTTTTAAGCTGTTTTTTCATACAAGCAAGAAATGTTTTCCTCATTGATGCAGATGCAACTTTTTCCTGTGTTAATGTGGACACAGTTTTGATAGCAAACTTCAGCACAAAATTAATAGAAGATGATAAATTGGAAAACAATCAGCTGTTGAGTGCATGAATAAGCTGCTGCAACGATTTGTTGTAGCTCTGATTTATCTGTGAGTGAACTTGGCTTGATTCATTTTTTTTTTAGCGAATGAACTTTCACCTGACTGTTGAAATAGTTACATTGTGAGTCAGACAGGTTGAACACAGGTGGCTGTTGTTGACACCAGGTCCCCCAAGAGGAGACGTTCCAGGTCTGGCTCCCGGTCGCGGCGGTCACGGCACCGGCGGTCACGGTCGCGCTCCAGGGACAGACGTCGGCACTCACCCAAGTCGCGGTCACAGGAGAGACGGGAGCGTGAGCGGGAGAGGGAGCGCAGGTCCAAAGGCCTTCCCCAGATCAAGGCAGAAACTGTTAGTGGTAAGTTCATTCTGTCTATTCATTGCTGATGGAACTCTGCACGTTCCCGTAACACTCTTTTGGGTGATACTGTTTGTGTTCCCTTTCTTTGGGTTTAATGCTCCTTGCTGTGGTTTCCAAGACTCATCCAAACAGAATCGGAGTAAACTGCACTATGATTTGTTTTCTGAGCTGTTGTAAAGCTGGCAGGAATTACATTCACCACACCTCCTTGCACTTCCTTTCCTTATAGTTGTCAGTTTGGCATATTGGGAATATCTCCAAGTTAGAACTATTTTGGCTGTAAAATGAGAAAAGGCTGAAAGCCTGTGTTTTTCTTTGCCTTTCTTTGAGACATAAAGCAAAGCAGATTAACTCAGCTTCTTCTTGTTCAATCATAAATGATTATGTATTTTGTAATTACTCAGTGTTGTGTCTCTCAGACCTAAAGGGAGCTTTGACCTGGAAAGCACACAGGCTAAGGTTGGATTTCTGAAATAACCCTGGCTCTGCCTGTGTTTGTAGATCAAATGTGGTAGTTGTCCTCTGAGTATTCCTAGGGAGTGTGGAATCTTCTCGGGACTCAGCAGGTAAAATGAAAACATTCTGTCTCTTACATGAGAGAGACAAAAACCTGAACAGTTCTAACTAGCCAAAACCTGCCAAGTGACAACCCCATTAGTGTAAGAGAAATGCAGACCCTTAGTAACTGTTCATTGAAGGCTCACACTGGCAGAGGTGTGAGTTGTGCTGCTGCCAACGCCTCTCCTGAATTCTGTCACACAGTGCTGTCAAATCAGGTTTGTATCACTTAGTGGAGGACACATGGATGACTATTAAATGTTGCTGTAGTGATCTGCAGTGAATGTGATGCTTTGAGCTCGTTTGCTGGTTTATTACGCTGAGGCATGAAGTGAGATGAGTATGTTGGTTACTCTTCCCTGGGAGAAAGAGCTCGTGTCAGTGCTGGCTCTTACAGTCTGTGTTAACCTCTCTGGTTGCAGTGTGCAGTACCACACTGTGGGTAGGACAGCTCGACAAGAGAACAACTCAGCAGGATGTTGGAAGTCTTTTGGAGGAGTTTGGCCCAATTGAATCCATCAATGTAAGTATAAGTGGTGCTGTGGAAGCTGCAGTTAATTTGGCTGAGTTGTATTAAAACAAGAAGGCACTTGCTTTGGTTTCTTGTAATTTAAAAATGGTCATAAAATAAGAGAATATTACCCCATTTCCATAAAAATCCTGCTTTCTCTGGTGAATGAGGAAGGGCTAGCAAGGAGATGGCTTCACAGTTACATTGTGTGCTGCTGAGTTCCTTGGCTGTCCCTGTTGTTTGATTACAGAGATGTGAGGTCTCAACTGGTGTTTTTGTTTATCCTGTCACTTTAGCCATAGACACAGAGAACTATTGTGATGTCCTGCTGTATTTAAGGATATTTTCATACATAAATGATAGCTTTAAAATTTCATTGAAACAAACAAAAAGAAGTGACTGTCTTCCTATTCCCAGATTTTGTAAAACAACATAGGAGTTTTTTTCTCAAATGCATTACAGATAATAAAAATTACTACAAAACTGCAGGTGGAAGTGACTGTGGAGGTGCAGCTGGAAGCTCCTGGGATATGGAATGAAGGGGGTATTTCTGTGCCTTCCAACAAGTAACAGATTGCCAGAGCACAGTATTTGCATGGACACTACTGTTTAGCAATTTCAAAGGATTAGATATACAGCAGTCACCCACATTCTCACATGGAGTAGAGTTCAAAGCTTTCCACATCAGAAGTTGAGGAAGTTTTAGTTTACTAGAAGTGTGCATTTACAGAAGATACTTTTTTTAAGAGGCTTTCTTAACTTCTTCGATAGTCCCTTCCAAACATCCATAGCCCCTTTTGGAACAGCACTGTTGTAAGTGCACACTTGTGTATTGTTCTTTGCTCTGTTATGTGCTAGCAAAACCAGTTTTTCCCCTTGAACCCCATGCAGATGATTCCCCCCCGAGGATGTGCCTACATTGTCATGGTGCACAGGCAGGATGCCAACCGTGCGCTCCAGAAACTGAGCCGAGGCAACTTCAAAGTCAACCAGAAATCTATCAAGGTACTCCTTGGGAAGTGTCAGCCTTTCCAAAGCTGTTGTCATTGCGGTCATCCTTGTCCATCTTTGATGAGCTTTGAGTGTTTCAGACTGTTGTGTGTTCTGGAGATGGTATCGTGTAAGCTTCAGTGAGTGGAGCACTTCTTCCCTTGAGAATTATTCTTTCTGATCTGTAATGGGGTTAGTGGAACTTGTATCAGTTTCCTTGAGAGATTGCTAGTAATCGTCTATTTCACCAACAGAAATGGTGTCCTTTCAGTCATTCCAGGGCACTGGAAGTGTATGTTTCTTGTTGTCAGTTATTTATCTTATAACAAGATCATTATAATTACAATCCTATGAAAAGCACTAATATGAAATAAAGAAGAATGCAGTAATTAGTGACGTACTTCCTTCTGCAGAATATCATGTTAGAGCATGCCCCTGCCCTCCAAAGGGAAACAGAATTAATCCAGGTGACTGGGGAACATGGGAAGAAACTGGCTTTATACATCTTTACAAAGGATGTGCAAGAGCCAAGCTTAAGACATAAGAACTAAGTCTGCTTTAAAGCAAACTTACTTCAGAGTTGTGTAACTGTTTCAGTTATTCTCTTTGCTCTTTAGCCTCAAATGCTATCACTGTTTTGTGAGAAGGAAATGTTAAATGTATTAAAATAGAAACTTTTTACTGACTTCTATGTATTTCCCCTCCCAAGATTGCCTGGGCTCTGAATAAAGGAATAAAGCCAGACTACAAGCAGTACTGGGATGTAGAACTAGGTGTGACTTACATCCCATGGGACAAAGTCAAACCTGAAGATCTTGAAAGTTTCTGTGAAGGAGGAATGTTGGACAATGAGACCCTTAGTCCAGGTAAGGCATTGCTGCATGTTCAGTTCCTGTGCAGGCCTGGCATTTATAGGGACCTAATGGAATTCTCGTTATCTTGTATGTGAGCAGTGGAAATAACAGGATTCTCCAGTTGTAGTAAGAAAATTATACCTGTTAGAATCAGCAGCTTCAGATCAATACAGAGTTGCTATGTTGTGATTTTAGAAGCAACAGTGAATAAATCTAATATTTGAAAAATAAGAATGACCTAAAGTTCTTTGACTTAGTACTGTAGACTTCTCTGTTAGTTTTAACCATTGTGTACTTCCAGTTATTGGAACATTATTTCAGGGTCCTCTCATTCTGTCTAATTTGCCCTAATTAGAATCACAGACTGGTTTGGGTTGAAAGGGCCTTAAAGCTCATCCAGTTCTACCCCCTGTTATGGGCCTGTCCAACCTGGCCTGGAACACTTCCAGGGATGGGGCAACCACAGCTGCTCTGGGCAACCTGTGCCAGTGCCTCAGCACCCTCACAGGGAAGAATTTATATCTGATCTAATCCTTGCCCTCTGTCAGTGTGAATCCATTCCCCCTTGTCCTGTCACTCCAGGCCCTTGTATATAGTCTCTCTCTGTCTTTCCTGCAGGCTCCCTTCAGGTACTGCAATTAGGTCCCCCCAAAGCCTTCTCTTCTCCAGGCTGCACAATCCCAATTCTTTCAGCCTTTCTTCATAGCAGAGGTGCTCCATCCCTCTAATCACCTTGGTGGCACCAATTGTCTGGTGATAATTGTATATGTGTCATAACAGTAGCATCTGTTCATGCTGAACACACAAAAACGAGTTGAGTGAGTGTTTTAAACAAAGATGTAACGAAGTATAAACATAACCTCAGGGTGTTCCAGTCTTTATGCTTTTCTCTTTTGCTCTCAGTGCAAAGGATTGTTAAATGACTAAAGAAAGGAATAATTTTACTTGCTGATGCAGTAATTTGCTGTACTGTGTTTAAATGCTTCTTAGCTCTGTGCTGCTTATTTGAGTATTTTCAGTTAGGTCAATTTTGTAAACATCTCCAAGCATGGTGGTTTCACCTGGCACTGCCTGTCTGCTTCCTCTGAGCTGATCCATGTCTGTTGGGATTTTGTTTTGCGTAGAGTGGAAGGGAATTCCCAAGAAGTCTGAAAATGAAGTAGCTCAGAATGGAGGGGCAGAAGCTGCACATAGTGAACCAGTGTCACCTATACCCAAAGCTTTACCTGTTCCAATTCCTGTTCCCATGCCTGCGCCAATAACAGTACCTCCTCCACAGGTGAGAGTTCTCTCATTTGATTGGGATAAATAAGCAAAAATTAATAACTTAGTGTAAAGAGAGATAGGAAATGTCGTGAATGGCAATGTGTGTGTGTGTCCACCTGAAGTCCAGTGTGTGAGCTGTTGCTTCAGATAAAAGAGCAGCCCAGTCTCAGCCCAGAACAGTCCTTTTCTGCTGAGTCCCAGTGGCAATGGGAGACTTGGAAAAACCCCAGCCCATTATGGTTTGGAGCATGTTTTGTGCCCAGAGCATCTGGATTTATTTCCCTGCAAAGGGATGTAGTTTCCGTGTCCCAGAACAGCCCTGGGAACTAAGTCAGCACACAGTTAGTGGGAACGATGGAGCTTTTGCTCCAAAACCTCATTGCTGCTCTAGTGCTAATGTGCACAGACCATGTGTGTCTGCCAGACCTTTGTTTGAAGCACTGTAGGACAGTAATTTTAATATCTGTTCTCTCAGTCATGGAGGAATTATTGCAGGAGTCTTTTTTTGTTGATGGGCTGAATTGCATCTTCAGTTTTGTGATTGGTTTTCTTTTTTTTTTCTCCTATTTTCCTAGTTAAGTTTCCCTCTAAGGAAAAGCTTTTCTTATTGACAGATGCATTACTACTTTTACATCAGTAGTTTCTTGTCACTGCTCCCAAATGGGAGGGAGTGTGGATAGAACTGTTTTGTGTCTTGAGGAAATGTGATTTGTAAACTACAATGTGGCAGACACTCAGAGAAGATCAAGAACTCAAATTCTTTGAAGACATCTCTAATTTAGCCAGTTATGTGAATTGAGAACATAGGATGTTGAATTCTGGGTTGTTCCAACACAGAATCCTGATGTGCTGTGAGGTATTATTAGTAAATGAAGATGTGAGTCAAATTTCTAATTTCAGTGGGATTTAGTAGATGGTAACTGTATTAAATAGTAGTGATTTTGTTTATTTTTCTTAAATTTGTGCTGAAAAAGAAAGTGTCAAGAAAAAAATACAGTTTCAGAATATATTGAGTGTGCTCTTTGCTTCCCTTTGCCACAGCAAAATATCTGAAGCTGATGAGGCTAAGAAACTTGTGTCTGCTTGATATTAATCAGAATTTAAAAAAAAAATACGGAAACACTAGTCACTCTAACGTAATGTACAAACCGAGGTAGTGAGAAAGAAACAAGAGAAGGTTTTTAGTTGCTCTGAAGTCATACGCACTCCATTGGATCCTGCTGGATGGAGATGAATCCCATCCACTGTGTTCAGGAGCTGTGGAAGTGAGTCCCCAACATGCATTAACACCCAGTTATCACAAAGAAGGATTTTTTCTAAGTACAGAAGCAAACAAGATCAATGTTGATACTTTATGTGGTAGGAGTTGTTTGAGTGCTAACTAGGTCTCTTGTGTAAGTCTCATCTTGTGCAGAGTAATTTCAGGTCACTGAAATGTGCTGGACAGCATGGGACAGCAGTCCCCAGCAAAACTGGGGGCTGATCATCCAGGCAATTTGGGTAACACATCTTCCCCCTTTCTTTTTTTCTAGGTTCCACCACATCCATCAGGGCCTCCTGTGGTTGGTGCCCTCCAACCACCTGCTTTCACAGCACCCCTAGGAATTCCACCCCCTGGATTTGCTCCTGGAGTGCCACCACCGCCACCACCTCCATTCTTACGGCCTGGGTTCAACCCCCTGCATTTACCCCCAGGTATGTTGGGGGGTGTGTACTGTGGTGGGTGAACCTGAGGGCACAGAGCCCTGCACAGCCTGCACAGGGGTGTTGTGGTACTGTCACACTCAGGGGTACTATGTGCTTCTTGTAGGCTTCCTCCCTCCTGGGCCACCACCACCCATAACTCCTCCAGTCTCTGTTCCGCACACTCCAGCAGTGAACATCCCAAACTGTAAGTGTTGAGGCCTGTGCAAGGCAGGGATTGTGCAGGTGGGAGAGCTGACTGGGGGTTAATGTGTCAATGCTTGTTCCTTAGCTACAGCAGCTGGTGGGAGTGAGGACACTACGAAAGAGTCGTCTGTAGGAAATCCCATCCCAACAGTAGTTTCTGGAGGCAGAGGGAATGCTGAAAGTACCGACAGTTCCAAAATCTATGGGACTGTCCCACCTCCTGTAGCGCCAGCTAATGTCCCTGCTCCTGTCACCCAGGCTGTTCCACTCCTTGGTAAGTTCAGTCTTGTGTAAGTGGTCCCTGAAGGTAAAATTCCATTCTGAGTTTGGTACCGACTTACAGTCCAGAGGAAAGGGAAGCACATTCTTCTCAACTTGTTGAAATTTCTGCCCTTCTCTTGGCTTTGAAGTCATTATTAGAGGCTTGCTTTTGCACAGAGGTGCAGTAAGTATTTTTATGATTGAAGATCTGTTTTCTGAAGAAACACAGGCATAAAGTATAAGGTACAAACTCACATGCTGTCTGCTTTTAACCATGGAGGTTTGTACAGCACAGAAAGGGAACTTACAAGAACACATCTGTGTGACATACAAACTGGGTTTAGACTCAACTATTACATGTATAAAATCGACTTACAGAGAAACCTTTTTTAGTGTATTTTATAAGTCTGTGAAGGTGTGGTGCATATTTTGTAGGTATAGAATAAATTGTTTTATTTAAAGGGAAATTGAAAGCTTTTATTCAGCCTTGCAGTGTTACAGGTTTTGACACCTCTTTAAGAGTATTATTTAAATATTACCAGGTGGTACTTGGACTACAAACCCAAGCTAACATGGGTGTCTTATATAAATTAATGTTTCCTATACATACAAACTTGGTCAGATCTACAAAGAGACTGTGCATGCTGTTACATGGCACAGAGCTCTCTTAAGTGTTTATTTCGAGATGGCCTTCAGTGGGCCAGTGTCAGGAATTTACTCCAGAGACTTCTTACCTACAAATTTTAGTGAGATCATTGCATTTATGGGACTTCAGACTTCTAAATGAGAGCCTTAACAATGAATGAAAAAGCTCATTTTGGCTTAGTGTGTTTCTGCCCAGAACTTCACAGTGTTCCTTGAAAAATCCCTCAGATTTGTCTCCCTGAGAGCTCTCTGCTCTCAGTGATGTGATGGCTAAATTTTCCAGCCATGACCAGTGATTTTTGGATCCTTCATGTTGAAAACTTGACATAAGATCCTTTTATAAGGCAATTTTCAGCAAGCAAAGAGCTGCTTCTCTCTGAAAATCACTCTGCTGCTTTTCAAACTCCAGCAAAGCAGGTGTGCAAACGCAGCAGATGATTGTTCTAGAGGATCTTGGGTCACTTGGCAAACAGAGCAGAGCTTAAAAAATCCTGTGGTGACACCATGGAGAAGTGTGTTGGGTTAGGGAGAGTTGGACATTTCATAAATTCACATCTTCATGATGAATTACACTGTCTGTAATGGCAGCACAGTATTACCAGAGTTGTGGGGGTTCATGGGACTGTCTTGTACAGCATAGCCTGAACTTGTTCTTCCAAGCCTTTGGAATGTATGAAGATCCTCTGCACTTGACTGCACACGTAACAAAAAGGTTTTACAGAATGGAGATGGGAGTGAAGTAAGTTCTGTGCCCACATCAGTTCTGGGACAGTAGCTTCTTTTTATTCTTACAAATCCAGAGAAGCTGAATGTGAGAAATCTGGAAATCAGGAACTTGCCTTAGTTTTTATTAACTTATTTCCTGAGTAGTTGAGGCAGATCAAGTCATCCACGTGATCTGGGTGACTTCTCTCAACGTCCATGCTCATCAGTGAAGGGAGAGGGGGAGCTTTTCTCTTTGTAAGAATACCCATGTGAGCTCACAGCAGTCCTGGACCAATAGCTGAGATCTGTGTGTTTACTTCAGCTATAGCATTTGATGTTCATGAGTGTAATTTTTCAAGGAGTTATTTGTAATCAAGGACTTAACCTTTCCATCCAGATGTTCCAGAGTTACAGGGCACTGTCCACAGTTTAGTATAAGTACAAGGAAACTAGAAGAAACAGATTATAGTATGTTATGTGATTAAAGATAACAGATTTATATCAGTTGTCTTGGCTTCTTAAAACCTTTGAGTAAGTTAACACATACTCTTCTTAAAAGCACTTTGATTCACTTATCAACTGAGCCTACATAGCTCTGCGTGTGGGAGAGCAGAGTGAGTGCTCCTTGGGCTGGGAGAAGAACAAGAGAGAATATGTCTTCCACCAGTTGTGCTGATCTGGAGAGCAAACTGTGTCCTGGGCTAATCCCCACAGCTTAGGCAGCAGGTGAGGGGGGATTCTGTCCCTCTGCTCCACTCAGCTGAGATCCATCTGCGGTGCTGCATCCAGCTCTGGGGTCCTCCCAGCCCAGGAAGGGCATGGACCCATTGGAGTGAGTCCAGAGGCAGCACCAAGATGATTAGAGGGATGGAACACCTCTGCTATGAGGAAAGGCTGAGAGAATTGGGATTGTTAAGCCTGGAGAAGACTTTGGATTGACCTAATTGTAGCCTTCCAGGATCTGAAGGGGCTACAGAGATGGAGAGAGACCATTACAAGGGCCTGGAGTGGCAGGACAAGGGGACTAGCCTTACACTGACAGAGTGTAGGTTTAGATTAGATATTGGGAAGAAATCCTTCCCTGTGAGTGTGGTAATGCACTGGCACAAGTTGCCCAGAGAAGCTGTGGCTGCCCCATTCCTGAAAGTGTTCTAGGTCAGGTTGGATGGGGCTTGGAGCAACGTGGCCTAGTGGAAGGTGTCCCTGCCCATGGTAGGAGATGGGCCTGGATGAGCTTTAAGGTTCCTTCCAACCCAAACCCTTCTGTGATTCTGTGAAGTGTCCCTTGAAGTCTTGCCCTTCCTGTGCTCTGAGCAAAGAGCTGCCCAGACTGCACCAGCATTCCTTCAGGCATGGCACTTGCAGTCTGTACCACAAGTTGTACTGAGCATTTGCAGCAAACTGGGATGTGTCTCTGGACAGTTCCAGTTTTGAGTTGGTGCCTGATGTGCTAGCAGAGCAAGAGACTCTCCTAGTTCTGCATGTGCTTCAGCCTCCACATCCAGCAGGGGCTCACAGTTGCAGTGTTCAGCTCCCCTGCTGCTGCAGTTCCGAGAGAAAGAGAAGGAGTTCCAGGTACCATTGTGCTGCCTCAGTGCTGCATTTTGTGTGCAATAAGGTTGGGAAATTAAAAGACTTGTACTTGTTAAATGCAAAACTTCTCACCTCGTGTTGGTGCTCCAGTAACCCACACTCCTCTGGAGCAGAAGCACTGGCTCACCCTCTGCAGCTCAGTAGTTCTCAGCTATTTTAGTCTGCCTTACTTTTAATCTTCTGTGGAAAACTAAAATACTTACTTATCAACAGGAATATCCCCTAACCTCAGAATTCCTGGGACACATCATTAGCCATGTGTCTGTCTAGTCAGATGCACAGTACTGAGTCACAGCAGGAGTTTCACCTCAGTGATGACAGACCTGGCTGTGACCAGGGGAGGGAGAGGGCTCTGCATTTTAGAGGTAAAAGGGAAGGAGGAAAAATGTGCTGTTGCTGGTGGCAAATTTCTCTCCCAAGAGTGTGACCTGTCGAGCTGTCTTAAGTGGCTGCTTGAAGGGGAAGGTAAAGGATGCCATGGACTGGATGAATATTCCCATCTCTGTCCTGAGTTGTTCTCATTGGCAAAGTACAGTTTCCTTCCAACAGGAATATGAAGAGCACTTGGATGCAAAGGTTTCGGTCAGAGATGGTCCTAAGCATAAGTGGTGAGGTGAAGGGACAGAAGGGGAATGGAGCTCCCCACACAGCTGCTTGTGGAGCTGAATCCAAGTGCAGTTTTCACTGCTTACTTTGCCAAGTCTTTAATTCCAGCATTAATTTCCACAGCCATTTTTGTTTTGCCCAGGGTAGGAGTCTCAAAACCTCCATTCTTAACTTTGATTTTTGTGCAGAAATAATACATATACAGTCTGAACAGATTGATGCAGGAGCCCCATGCTCTCTCCCAGACAGGGACTATGTTTTGAGAGCAGGAGCTGCTGGTGAGCAGAGAGGTGCAGTGTGAGGGCTCAGGGAGCACAGGACAGTTTGTTGCTGGTTCAGACTGAAGGATTCCTCACCTGCCCACTGGTGAGAAGTCCTCAGCTGGAGCTCAGAGTTCCTCCTTCATTCTGGCTCAGTTGTGTTGATGTCAGTGAGCTTTGGGCTGAGCTTTCTCCTGTAATGTTTTAAGAGTTACTTTTTTTCCTCTTCGAAGAGTGTGTTAAAAACAATAATGGAAATGGAAGATAGTTGGTGTTGGGTATGTGCTATAAAGGAAGAAATATTGTATTAAAAAAAACTCAGAAATTGCATGTTGCATTTCCTCTTAGTTTACATTGCAAGGTTTATTCTGCTGAATGAATCCTTGTTGTGTCCCTTTTCTCTGGAACAGCAAATAGAACAGCTGCACCCTCACCTCTGCTGCTCCTCCTGCACGAGGCTCTCGCTGATGGCCAGTGCAGCTCTGAGGCATCTCAGGTGGTGTCTGGAGGATAGGGGAAGTGTTTAAAGCTGCTAAAGGCCTGAGGTGTTCTTAACTGGACGCCTGGAAGCAGGGCCCCTAGGAAGGGGTTTGGGCCGCAGGCATTTGTGGAAGCACAGGCCAAGCTGGAGCTGAGGGAGAGCTCTGCCCGGAATGAGAGCAGAGGAAACGTTTGGGATTGGTGGTTAGTTACTGCCTTGCAGTGGTTCTCTCTTCCAGCAGTACGGAGGTCTGTTTGCAGTCGGTGCTGCCTGGGCGGTTCTGTTTCCCGGGATAATGGAGAGGGTCCGAAGTCAGGGAAACGCGTTGTGTTCTCCTGCCAGGCTCTGACTGTCCCTTGTGTTCCCCGCAGGCACTCAAGGCGTGGCGCCGCCGCCGCCGGCGCCCG